GTGATGGGTAAGGAAGAAATGGGGGGGGGGGTCCTGTCGTCCTTACCCCGGCCACAGCCCCAGGGGGAGGGTCTCTGTCCCGAGTCAGGCCTGAGCTCTGAACCTTGTTTAGTTCAAGCAGCTTTCCAAAGCTCCCTTAGCCCCTTCTCCCTGAGACGCGGTTTGGGGGCGCCAGTGCCGGCCCCTTCCCCCCCTCCCCCGCACTTTGGCTCTGGGCTTTGCCTGGAAAGTGTCACAGCCTCTGTTTTGCCACTGACTCTCCTGGCCCAGGATCCTGCCGAAAGGGGAGCCAAGGGGGCTCCCCGGCCCTCTCCGTGTCACTGGCCGCACCGGAGGGAGGGGCGGGGAAACAAGCGCAGCAAAGGGCCAAAGCACCAAAAATACCTTTAACTAGTCAGGACTGTTCTTGGGGCGCTGCAAAGTCTGGCCCCGTCAAGTCTTAAGGGCAAGACGCGCAGCGAGCGGCAGCCGTCCAGTGCGCCTTTGCGCGCGCATCTGCAGGGGCCTCCGGCAATGGGGCGGCGGATCAGCTGAGACAATTCTGCGCAGGGCCCCCGGGTTGCTTCGCCTTCTCCCCTCCCGCAGTGAGCTGCCCATGGCAGGAGCCGTGCCCGGGGGGCCTGGCAGGGCAGAGGCTGCAGGGAATAGGGCTGGAGGGGCCCCAGCTCCAATGCCTGATCTGCAACTGAGTGCGGCTCCAGCAGGGAGGCCGGGCGGAGCCCCCGCCGCGGGGCCACTCCGCGCTTTGCCAAGACACTTTCCCCTTTGTCTGCCTAACTGCTTCCTCCCGGTGCAGGGCTCCATTGTTCCCAGGGAAGGATCAGGAGGGGAGGGGGCTTGGCTGGCCAGCAGAGCAGGTGGGGGAGGGTCATTCCCCCCTGCCCTTATGCAGCAGTTGGGTTGGCTCCTTCCTCCTCCTTCTTCCTCCCAAATCCGGAGTGGGGGGGCTCCCGTATAAACGCAGCCGGCGGGTCTCACTCCGCTGCGAGCCGCGCTCACCCCCGCGTTCTCTCTCGCCTTCCCCCCCAGGTGTGGTTCAAAAACCGGCGGGCCAAGTGCCGCCAGCAGCAGCAGCAGCAGCAGAACGGCGGGCAGAACAAGGTGCGGCCGGCCAAGAAGAAGAGCTCCCCGGCCCGGGAAGTAAGTTCGGAGAGTGGGGCCAGCGGGCAGTTCACTCCCCCCTCCAGCACCGCAGTCCCGGCCATTTCCAGCAGCAGCGCCCCCGTGTCTATCTGGAGCCCCGCTTCCATCTCCCCCCTCTCAGACCCCCTGTCCACATCCTCCTCTTGCATGCAGCGCTCCTACCCAATGACCTACACCCAGGCTTCCGGCTACAGCCAAGGATACGCCGGGTCTACCTCCTACTTCGGGGGGATGGACTGTGGATCTTACTTGACCCCAATGCACCACCAGCTTCCTGGACCCGGGGCCACACTCAGCCCTATGGGCACCAATGCAGTCACCAGCCATCTCAACCAGTCCCCAGCCTCCCTCTCCACCCAGGGCTACGGAGCATCTAGCTTGGGCTTTAACTCCACCACCGATTGCTTGGATTATAAGGACCAAACCGCCTCCTGGAAGCTAAACTTCAACGCTGACTGCTTGGATTATAAAGACCAGACCTCTTCCTGGAAGTTCCAGGTTTTGTGAAGGCCTGTAGGACTCCTTTGTGCTAAGAATAAATCCTAATAAACACTCTGGGCTGAACATTCCAGTTTTAGTCAGGTCTTGGTTAAATTAAAGAGGAAAAAAAGAAAAAAAGAGAAAAAAAAAGACAGTTGGGGTGTGATCAGACCTAGATTCACCTCCTGCCCAAAAGCTCTGGAAAGGAATGAAGAAGGAATGAAGGAGGAAGGCCTTAAAAGGACAGATCATCTACCAAGCAGAAGCAGACAGACCAACCTGCGTCCTTTATAGTTTTAGCCAATTGTTGGGTTTCTTTGTTTGAAAGGAATGGCTGATCATTCCACCTGTGGGCCAGTTTTTAAAAGAAAGTCTAGGTTTGATTGTTTTTTTTTCTTTCTTTTGTGTGAGTGTGTGGGAAAAAGATCTTTCACCTAGAGGTTTCCCCGTGTGCTAGCCAACCCTTGGTTAAAAATCTTTGGAATGGACAACGTCCCTTTCTCTCTCTCTCTCTCTGTCTTTCTCTCAAACTCATTCAACTGTTTCACGACCAACTTCCTAGTTGGCACTGACAGACCTGGGTTCAGGGTTGTGTGGGTTGTGCGACTGATTGTCCTAGCTGCACTACTTTATTTAAAAAAATGTTCATAAGGAGTCAATATGTAGTTTTTAAAAGACAATCAGTGTGTGTCTTATATAAATGGTACATCTGTGGTTTTTAATCTGTGCTAGACTTCAAAACTGTGATCTCCTGTATTGTATGCAACTGTGAACCCCTCCACAGCAGGGGTTCTGCTGTGATTTAAATAGGTTATAATTATAAGTGAAATTCAGAGCAACTGAGTTACCTAGTATCTTAAAAAAACAGTATCTAAAAAGATCGCCTTTCACCACAGGTGAACTACTGAAACTTTTTACAACAAACTGTCTCTGAATGCAAGAGAAAGAAGAAAAACACACAAGGACACTAAACTGATCTGTAGTCACTTACTGCTGGCCAAGCCCGCAGTAGAAATAAAACAGGACATTGGTCAATTGCTCTGACCTTGATGAATTTAAACGGAGAAATTCATTGTCGTTTATGCTTGCAGATGTTAATTGAGAAAAAAAAAGATATATATGCATAAACCTTTTTTTCCTGGATTTGGCAGATATGTATAATTATATTAAAATGGTTCTAGCACAATTGGTGGTTGTCTTCCATTTTAATTGCACAGGGTGAGTTAAGAAAATACCTCAATGCAGCATACTTCAAAGGACTTCACAAATAGAGGGGGCGGGGCGTACAGGGACAATGCAAATATTCTGTTGTACTGGACTGAAACGGCTTCTTTTCCCTTTGCTTTTAAGTGCCCCAGCTGCTGATGTTTTCCTTTGGCACAGGCAGAAAATGCCAGGGATGATTTTGTGTTAAATCACAAGAAGTTCTGTGGGCCCCTGCAAGATTGTCTCCCGTACGAAAACGAAATCATCGGCTATTTTCAGAGAATGAAAAGGGGGCTTTGTAGACAGGGCTCAGCATGATTAGGGGTGAAATGCAGAGGAGGAGAGAGAAATGGCCGAACTGAGTGAAGGGCTATTTCTCCAGCTACTATAAACTTTCTGCAGAAGTGATGTCTGAACAAAGGAGTTTGGAAGAAGTTTTTACAGCTGAGTAGAAATACCCTGGTCGGTTTTGCTTCTTTCTTGAAACTGTGGCTGGGAGTCCCTTTAAAAATAAGTACCTGCTTTTCTCTTTCCCATTTGCCACAGAGAGGTGCAAAAAATGCAGTAGTGCCACACTAGTGAAAACAGGAATGGTTTTAAAATTATATCCTGTTTAGTAGCCACCATGCAAAATTGTGAAGCCATGACAGTTTTAGCTATTTATCATTCATCTACTTCAAAGCCTTAGCCTGTCATGTGGTTTTCTCGGATTGGTGTGAAACCTGTGCTCAAATATTTTGAAAAAAAAATGGTTTGGGGGCTGGGTTTTTGTTTTTTATCTGTTCAATGGGATGGTTTCCTTCCCATGCTGAACTCTCTTGATCGACAGATTTGCAAGACCTGAGGCTACCTGCACTTGGTAATAGTTTATGATACTTTTAAAAACACTCCTGAGAGACTCTGCTTTCCAGGTTCTCCATATATCATCTTGGTGCCTCACCTAATCTCTACATTTCATCCGGCTGTTCCCGGCTTCCTCTCGTCCACATTGAAGGCATTAATAATGCAGGTTTTATGTACTCACTTCTAATGGATGTGTTTATTTCTGTTTTAGAGTGCCCTAGAATTGAGAGGCCAGATTATGTTTTAAAAATAAACAAGCAGAGACATTCAGCAACTCTGTCAGCTCTCAAATGAATGGGAAAGTTTTCATGCAGCTTGTTGCTATTTTTATATTTCGCAATACCGAGAGAAAAAAATTAATGGTTTTCAAGTGATACGAAGTTCAACCAGAACTAACAATAGTCCATATGATTCCTTTCTAGCAAGAGTGTATTAGACTACACAGCAGAACGCTTCATAGACAATCAATAAATAAAGCCATTTTCTTGTAGGAAAATGTAGAAATAGTTGTAAAAATGATTTGAGTGACTACCAACGCAAAACAAAGGGGAATATATAAAGTGTTTCTCCACTGATCTGATTTAAACCAGCGATGGCAAACACGGATTTAAGGGAAATATTAACTGAAAATGCATTTTCCTTGTAAGGAAGTGTAAGGCTCCCTTAAAAGGGATTTGAAAAAGAAAAAAAGAAACCCCTGTTTCTTTACCCATTTTGCTTTTCCCACGAACGATTTTTTTTCTTTTATCTTTTATTTTGGTAGCTAGCCTTCATTTTCAATTGCCAAAATGATTTAGCTAACGTCCTTCTTAATCAGAAAAGCTAAATGGTTTCAGGACTTTAAGCTTGTTTAGCCATATCTATCCATTTACACATCTCGGTAGATTTACTCTGTTTCCAATCTGATTTCGGCGAAAAGTCATTTGATTCCCTATTGGCAAACGGCAACAGCGAGTTTCTCGCTGGGGGAAGCACTTTTTTGTAACTGCTTTTGCCGATCGACTTTCACGTTGGAGTCGTTGCTTGTCGCTTGCGTTTCGGAAAGGCAATTCGGATCACGATCTTAGCGGGGCAAGAGACACGTGAACAGAATCCGCATTGTGTCTAGACCAAAGCGGGTGGGTTTAAGGCTCATGGCTCCGGTGGGAAGATGTTGTTTCCCAAAGGAAATCTAATTGCAACCCACGGTGGGCTGGAACGGAAAACTTTAAACCAAATCCGAGCGGACAGATCTTTTTCTTTTTAAATCGCCCCAACCCCATTTCACGCCGAGCGTTCTGCCGCGCCTCGTGCGTTTTAAAAGTTGCAGACGAAGCAGGGTTCCTCCTCTGAGACTTTTCTACAGGGCGGTTGACTTTTTCCACGGTGCAAACCCCATTTTGCTCTGCCAGACCTTCTGAGTCGGCTTTTCTCCGAGCAGTTTCCAGTGGCTGCTGACTTGGGTCCCATCCTTACAAACGCTTTCCCTCCATCCTCACGACTATTCCGCATTAGTCCTCCCGTCCAGCTACGAAGCAGGGTTCCTCCTCTGAGACTTTTCTACAGGGCGGTTGACTTTTTCCACGGTGCAAACCCCATTTTGCTCTGCCAGACCTTCTGAGTCGGCTTTTCTCCGAGCAGTTTCCAGTGGCTGCTGACTTGGGTCCCATCCTTACAAACGCTTTCCCTCCATCCTCACGACTATTCCGCATTAGTCCTCCCGTCCAGCTACAGTTCACGTAGGGGGATAGTTATTTATAAAACGCCAGGGTTGTTTACTCCTCGCTGCAGCCTGCTTGTACTTGGCTTTCTGATAAGACACGGGAGCATCCCCGTCTGCGCTGGAAAATCACACCGCTTGGAGCCCACCCAAACACGGCGCTGCTCTTTCCGACGCCGCTCCCCGACGTGGCTGGTTCCCTGGCGAGGAATTTTCAGAGCGCGGACTGGGCAAAGTCGCCTCTGCCCGGGGCGGGGGGCGGCG